AATTGTTTAATGTTTCATTAAATAAATGAATATGAGTGGAATTAATTTTTAATAAATTTTTTAATTATAAAGTTTTAGTTTAAATTTTAAATGATTTTGTGGAAATCTTGATGTTCTAATAGGTTTTACTGGCACAATGAAAAGTTGTATATGTGTTACATTATTAGTTAGATATATTGAATTTATATAGTTCGCAAAAAATCACAATCCGCTTAAAATCACATATAATTAATTCGTTAATTTTTAATATAAAAAATTTTTAACGTGCAGCTTTAACTGCACATATAGTCTGGTGTTCAATATGTTAACCTACCGAAAAATTACTGAAATAAAAATTACTGAAATAAAAATTACTGAGTTGGAGTTACTACATATTTATGCATTTACATGATTTTATTCGACTACTTGAGAATAGCGTTTAGTTAATTTTGTGTCAAAGTGTCCCATCAAGTGAATCAACAGTAATGTCAATCAAAGTAAGTAAAATATTACTTAAAATAATTTATATTGCTTTAATTATGTTTAAGAAAACAAAATGGAAATAAATTCAGATAAAATCATTAATTTGAAAATTTGCAATTTTCTTTTGAACACGTGAAAAATATTTTTTTACAATGAATAGTTATCTATGCTACATAAATTATTGATAAAATAGCTAGGTGATCAATACACCAAAATTATTTGTACTATAACAAAAATTGCATACTTTTCGGGGAAATCAAAAAAAAAATTTAAAAAGAAGTTTTTACAGAAATTTGAAAAATGAGCCTTTTTTTGAAAAATGAAAAATCAAAAAGAGAAATTTTACTAATTTCGGGTGGCAGGATATTGAAATATGGGGATAATAGAAAAACAAATTTTTGCCGACAAAATAAACTAATTATTGTTTACTTTTCTCTCATACGAGGGATTTAAGAGTTTTAAATTTAATTTTAAAAGTCATTTCTAATTGTTACGTTTGAGGAAATTAACAAAAATCCTTTTGATTTCAATAATTAACGCACAAAAATCTCGAGTGACTGATAGAAAATATCACACGTTGCGAAAGATATGGAGAAATGGAGGCGGATTATCAAAAAAATAAATTTCTAACTGGTAAGTGGTCTGAGTGTAATTAAATCACCACTAATTTTTCAATTCTGTTGGTTGAAAAAATAAATAACTTTTAACTAATATTGTAGAATTTGTTGTGCAGCATAAGAGTAAAAATAATGGAATTATTAATGTTCCGCTGTCGATATATTTATGTACTATGTGATTTTAAACGGATTGTATTTTATTTTTATAGCAGTACAACTTTAGGGTATTATTTAATATTTTTTATTTATGTTCACATTATAAAAGATGAAATCGTTGAAATTTTCATTTATTATAAATATTTTATCGACAATGGAGACTAAAAAATAACCTAATATTGGATAATAGAAATATATAGAATTAAAGAAAAAAATATAACTTAAAAAGAAAAAAGTATAAAACCTGTAAAAAAATTTTCTTTTTTTAAGTTTTATAGAAAATATAAATAAATTAGAAAAAATTTCTTTGTATATTTTTAAATAATAAAAAAACTGTAAAATTTAAAATTGTATATATATATTTTTTTTATAATTATTATGTTTATATTAAATATATTTAATATATATAAATAAAAAGAAAAAATTGAAATTATATAATAAAAGGAAAACTAAAAATAAAATTTTTTTTTTGAGTTATTCAAATACTAAATATTTTCTGTATTTTTATATTATTAGTATAAAATTTTTTTTTTTTTTGGAAATTAATATATTTTTGAATTGAATGTTTTTTCTTTTTTGAATTAAAAATTTTATTTTTGAGTTTGGAAAAAAAAAATTCTTCAGTTTGGTTTTTTTCTGTATATAAATATATTTTGTATATATTTTGTAAAAATTATAGAATTAGCCAATTAAAAATATTAAATAAGATATAGACTTAGAATAACAGAATAATAAAAAGTAGTTGAATAAAATTAATAAAAATATTTGAAATATTTGTACAAGAAAAAAACTAAAATTAGATACAATAAAAATAAATAAAATTTTTAGAAATAAAAATTAATTAATTATAAAAAAACAAAAGTTGAAAATAATTTTTTTTTTTTTTTTTTTTTGAAAAAAATTATATTTTATTTTACTTTAATAATCATATTCAACACATTGATCGCCAAGTTTTAAATGCATTTAAGATGTTAACATCAAAATTAAGTTTAATTTGAAAATTACAAAAAAAAAAAAAAAAATTAATTGGGAAATAATTAGGTGAATTCAGGTGTATATCTACTTTTAATAAATGAAGATCAAATTTTTGATCTAATTGTTGGTCTAATTGAAATTTTTAATTTTTTTTTTTAACTTTTTAGTTTTTTGAAAATTTTTTCGAATTTAAATTATACTTTGGTCAGTTCAAGAAATGAAAATATTAAATATTTTATTGAAAATTAATATGAATTTGTTTAACAAACAAAAATATTTCATATAATATTGTTTAATTTTTGCTATGAAATCAAATGGGTTTTAACAATTTTAATTCTAATAATATCGTAGTAATAAGATATTTAAATTATATTCACTTTATAACAGTTATAATCGCTACTTCGCTTAAGTTATTTAACTGTATTCAGCTTTAGGTTAAAAACATAATATGAAATCATTGAATTAAATTTAGAAATATTATTAAATTGATATTATTTATTTTAAACGATTATATTAAAAAAATTAATTTTGAATTAAATAAAATTATATAGAATTTTTTTGCTTATATTGGATTCTAACTTATTAACTGAGTACATATAGCAAAATATTAATTTAATGGTGATCTAATATCGTTAACTTTCAACAGAAAAGGTGACGTAAAATTAACGTCTACAAGATTTCAAAATGATAAAGACCCTGATTTAATTGCAGCCACCTTATATATATATCTTTTTATTGAGTGAAATGTACGAGTATTGTTTAAGTACGATTAGATAAGTGCAATTTCGAGAAAATATATATGTAAAGGGTAAAAATTAGTTCAGCAAATTGTTTTATTTTATAATAAGGAACTTTTTCACGTCATCTATACTTTTGGATAAGTAATCTGAAGAAAAAAGTTAACATCTACATCACGTATGTTACTTGGTAATTTTTATTTTAAGATTTATTATATTATTAACATATGATTCCGATGCCGAAAATTAGAAAGAAATTGTAAGTGAAAAAGTTTCTATTAGCCAAACTTTCACGACAGGTATAACGAGAATTTTTTCGATAAAAATGAATTTAAATGGTTTTCAGAAAGTTTTTGCACTTCGTAAAACAGCACATTCATGTATACAGTACGAAACGAGTATGTACAAATTGTGCTAAATTATGTAACGAAGAATTATGTGCAAATTAAGATGTGCTGAAAATTTTTTTTTAAAAATATATTTGTATTTGAATGGTTTTTTTTTAAGTAATTTGAATAATAAATTTTTGTTTTTGTTTTGTTGATTTTCATTTTATGTTACATAAATTAATTATCCAAATAATTTTGAGAAAGACTGTTTGAAAAATGAACTTGTAATAAAACTCTACTTTGTTTTGGTTTTATTTAAATTATTGACATTTCAAAAACGGTTTTTTTACTTGAAATATCGCGATATTAGAAAAGGGCTAAAATTTATGTCACCTATGTGTTAAATAGTAAAAAAAAGTCCACGTTAATGGTTAATATAAAAATTCCAGTTCTGTTAATAGTTAATATTGGTTTAAATATTGGCTGAAATTATTCGAATAATAAAATAATATAAATATTTTCATTCTTGAACTAAAAACTATAGATTTTGGGGGGCGAGGAGCTAAGATTAGGTATTATAATTAATGCAAAAATGAAAATATGATTTGGGTTCTTAAAAATCATTATATAAATAAATAATATATATATAATGCATATTCACACATATGTATGTAAAATGGAAGGAATGATTGTCTCACCTAACAAACCTAAGACAAAACATGTTTGTCATCATCAATATATAATCGAAAAATGATTTTTATTAATCCATACAAAAAAGAATAAGTTATTAAAGCTTTGTTTGAATTTCATTTATATACCGATGATTTTTATATTTTTTTTTTTTCATAAAATTTTTAAATTCGACCAGCTTTTTGTTTTTGCATAGTTTTTTTTTCAGTTTCATTTTCATTCACTCTTAAGAGTGAAGAATTTTCATTATTTATATTATTATAAATATAAATTAATCTTAGGTTTGAAAGGATGGTTAACGTTTGATTTGAAATGATTTTTTGTTATATATTTTATATATATATATATATCTGTTATATTGGCGGAAATATAGCGGAAATATGGCGGATATACGGCGGATAATGTTCATATCAAAAAAAGGTTTTATTGATAGTAGTTGAGGGTATTGATAAAATTTTGTTGTATTAAACTTTTTGATGTTTTTTTTTTTTATTTTTTTTTTTTTTTGTGTATATGGAATTAATAACATTGGCGATTAAAGTGTTAAAATTAAGGGATTCATTCATCTTTCATATATATCGAAAAATCTTATTCACATTTTTTTTTTGTTCTCATTTATTCATTTCGTTGATTTTTTGGTTTCGTGTTTTTTTTTTTTTTTCGTTGTTTCGTTCGATGTTTTTTTGTTAAGAATATTTAATATTGTATAATAAAATTCCTATATAAATTATATGTGAAATTCCTACATCATAATAAATTACAATAAAAAATATGTTGTATTAGAAAAAGAAAATTTAACTTGAAAATAAGTTCCTACGTATATATATATTTATATATATATATATATTGTATAAGTATATATAATAAATATACTTATTTTATGTATGTTGACTTGTTCAATTGAAATTCAATTTATATTCCATTGTAATAAGAAAAATGTTGTTAAATATTTTTTTTTTGTTTTTTTTTTTTTTTTTGGTATTAAAAAAGTTATTTGGAAAAGAAAAAAACGTTTGGTCATAATTATTACTTACCGGTACCATTAATGCCAGAGGGTCGAATTCTGGCATCATATTTTCCAGCACCTAAAATTTGATCCAAAACTTTTTTCTCTTTTTCACGAAAATTTATCTTGGCATTATTAGCTCTAAAATTTGAAATATATAAAAATATTAAAACTTTATTAGTTTTAATAAGAATTTTTGTTTTTTTTTTTGTATTAAGAAATTTTTTTTTTTTTTTGTAATTGTTTTTTTATTAAAATTTTGTAGACTATTGATGAAGTAGCTGAAAAACCCATTTTGAAATTTTCATATCATCATATTTGATCATATTTTTAATAATATTATTTGAGAAGAATTTCTTAAAATTCTTTGTATTTGTATGTATGTATATAGAAAGCCATACATAAATAATTTGAAATTATTATATATAATATTATATTTTTATATTATATATATATATATGTATATAAAATTGAAATTACTAAATGAAATATTAAATTAATGTGTATATATATAATAAATATGACAGTATTAAATATTTTATTATATACTGTAGAAATTATTATTTGAGCTAATAAAAATGTTATAAGCCTTTTGTTTTCTTTTTTTTTTCTTTATTGAAAATCCTTGGTTTTTTTTTCTTGTGTCTTATGTGTATGCAACTTGTAAATTAAACTTGATTCCGAAATTTGTTTTTATTATTCTCCATTTTTTGGTTTTTTTTATTATTATTGCTCTCTTGTATGTATTTTCATATCTCATGACGTTATTAATATTTTTTTTTTTTAATATGTCACTTTTTTTTTTTCTTTTATGATTTGATGAACAAATCTCTCAACTATTTTTATAGTAATAAATATAAATATTTAAAAAAATTTTTTGTTTTTTTTTTTTTTTTTGATTTTGGTATAAATCCAAATTTTTGTTCTAAAAAATTGGTGGGTTAAATTAAAAAAAAAAAAAAAAAAAAAAAAAACAGAAAAATAATAATAATTAAAGGGGGAAACATTTCATACTTACAGTGAAGCACTACAAAGGCAGGCAAAGTAAAATATTGACCAGAAAATATGGCTAGTTTCCATCTTCATTTTGAAATAGTGTTGATAATATTTCTACTTGTTTTCCTTCTATATAATTTTAACAGTATATTTTATTTTATTTTATTGTTTTTGGTTTTCTTTACAAAATAACACTTATTAAATAATTAATTTATTATTATAATAATATTTTTGATATAATACGAATTTTTTTTGTAGTTGATATCTGCTACAGAAGTCTGCAAAAAAGAAAAGAAATTTTTTTTTTTTAACATTTATATAAAATTATGTAAAATTTAATTTTTATTGAAGACAATAGTAAAAATTTTATTAAAAAAATAAAAATATTATTAACTTAATGGAAATTTCTTTATACAACTGAAGAACAGATGGATGACGTAATCAAAGGAATGAGTTAAAGGTAGAAAAATTAAAAAAAATTTTCTCCTAAAATATTATTAAGTTAATATTATTAGTACTTATAATAGGCATAATACTTATTAGTTAAACAACCACACGTTGTATTAATTGAATAAAAATATTAATAATTGACCATTGCCGGCTGTAATTATAATTTACATCATGAAATCTGATCTAAATCTTGTTACTATTATATAGAATCAAAATCAAAACCTGATGAGTTAGTTTAGAAATATTTTTTAAGGCTTATTTTTGGTACTTTTGTACAAAATTTTATGAATTTACCTTAATAAATTTATGAAATATTTAACACGTTAATCAGCACGATAATATTATCAGAAAAATTTTTATATGAGCCATGGTAACTTTATCAGATAATTTAGTTAAAAATATATCAAGGAAATTTAATATATCACAGAAATATTTTTTTGACAAAATTCCCGGAAAAACCTGTTATTGTCTTAATATTCTTCTAGGAATTTATAATTTATTTATAATTCTTTTTTATGTCACATATATATTTTTCAATTGAAACAATATACCATTATACTATAACTATGTTTATTTCAATTTATTGTTTGTAATATGCCAAGAAATTTTCAGGTTTTGTTCCTGATAGACACGAAACGAAAGGATGTTCGAAACATAATGCAAATGTTTCGTTTGCATCGGACATCTGCGACTGATGTGGCCTTCTACAACCAAATCGCTTAGAGTCAGACATATAAGATTGACATGACGATTAACGTATTAAAATATGCTTTTAATCAAGTAACCTGTGAATTAATTTCATTACATTGATTCCATTAATTCAATTATTGGAATTAATGGACCGGATTTCATGCAACTAACCTTTTTAGTTTTTGATTTAAAAAAAAGTTAAATGTTTTGATATATTTAAAATAATTTGATGTATTTGTTTTGAATTGTATGACAGTTACACGAACCCGTTATTCGAATTGGTGTAAAATAGTAGTTTAAATAGTAAAAATCTATAAAGCGTTTAATATTCAAATTTCGTATTCAATATTTATAAAAAGTCTAGGACATTTAAATTTTACATAAACGAGTGCAAGGCCACTATTTCAATAAAATTTGGTAATAGTTGTATAAATTCTTATAACAACTGCTGTACAGAATGAGATATGTAAGCAAACTAAATATTCCCAAGGTTTAGTAATAGAATCACTTAAGAAAATGTTAATAGTGATTTTTTTTTATCAACTATCATATTGGTTTGAAAGAAAAAGCTATCATAGTCAACTCTATTTTTATTTTTCATTTTAAAATGTGACACGCATGTACATAATATTAAAAATTTATTGCGTATACAATTTTAAAAGCAAATAATTACTTTTTTTTTTATAATAAATTACTATTATGTACCACAAATTTGTGTATAATAAAAAATCGATTTTCGTAATTTATATATATATATATATGTAATATATAATAATATGTATATATACAACCTACACATATCATTATCGATTAAATTCAATTCCTAATGATACGCCTATAAATTATTCGGATATTTAATTGGCGCCATGGCGCTAATGTTCATATTGTTATACATTAATAACCAATGTTATAATATAAACATATATGTATATAGATATTTTTTTGTCATACATATGGTTGTACAATTTGTTTTCTAGAATAATATTGTTCAAAGTCTAAAATTTCCAAATACATCCAAATACATACACCTACAATACAAATTTATATTATGTATATGTATAATGTATGTATAGTTAAATATATGTACAATAATATATAGATAGGTATGTCAGAAAAGTAACCTAATTAGCAATTATAATTATTTATTATCATACATTTTCATTTTATATTTCGTGCTACTTTATTTATACGATTCTATTGTATACTAAAATTAATTAGGAAATTTAAGATTATAGACTAAAATTTAATTATGTTGTAATAATTTCATTTATTTACTAGTAAATAAACATATACATATGCAATTCATATATACATGATTATTATACAAGTATATAAAATTGTTTCATTTTGTTAATTTTAAATATTGTATATTCCCTCTTCTATCGAACAAGATTATTTGAACACTAATGTTATTTTGGTATACCGTACTGCGTGTAAGATATATAATATACAGGTATATAATGTATATTATATGTCTGAACATCATACACATTTTTTAATTAATATTCTATGTAAATATAAATGTGTACATATTAAGCGAAGGTTAAATTAAAAAATAAAGTAAAAAAAATTATCCATAAAAATGTTGTTACTATGCAATGAAAAATGTGAGCCGCTTTAAATTTTTATTAAAAAGGTTCAAGGTGTATTAACAAGTAGAATATGATTGTTTTTTTTTTTTTGCATTATTTATTAAAAAAAAAAAATTTTAATTAAAATACAAAATTTTCACATTTTCTTTGTGTTATATACAAGTAGTACAGATTAAATAATAATATGTATGAAATCTTTGCGATAATTTAAAATTTTGTATTTATTTTATTGTGCTGCTTCAAAAATTTTATATTAAAAATGCATAAATTAATATAAATAAATTATAAATTCCTAAGGGAATTATAGACGATAACAGACCAATTAATATACAAGTATTTTTACGATACAAGTACTGGTTAATTCCAGTATTAATAAACGTTAATATTTTTATAAAATGTTTAAAAAGATCAATTAACACTTATGCGGTTTTCAATAAAAACTGTGCTAGTTAAAAGAAGTTACGTTAAAACTGAAGGTTCTACATTAAACAAATTTGGACAGAATTCAAATTAAATTGGGTCTTCTTTTGTGTTAAAATAAATAAATTCGAATAAAATTTATGGTTTGTAAAGAAGCACTTTTTACTTGGAGAAGTGTAATTTCTATTACTTTTGAAAAAGCAGTTTACTGGCTATTTAAATAATTTTTATTGAAATTCCATAATATTTTATATTATTGCATACTTTTAGGGAGCAAAAAAAATATAGAAATTAGTATAAATGTTAATGATCAAATGCAATATAAATGATTTAAGAATTTAAACAATAAATAATTATATTTTTGACGTCATGGCATTTACCTTGTTATAATTTTTAGAAGTATTTAGGTTTCAAAAATACAAAACGTTGAAAATTCGCATGTGACAAATTTTAAGCGGTGGTAAATTGAAAGGGAATAAGTAAAATTCTTCTAACCAAATATTATACCAAAAAAAATTATTAACATTTCTACAACTCAAGAACAATGTCAAATATTTAGAAAAAAACGGGTTTGCATGATGTTACGCCCCTGCGTTTGAGGAATTTAAATGTTTTAAAGGTTTCGATACAATAAAAATAAATAGTCAAATTATGGAAATTTTGGTACTGTTAGAGGCTATAAATTTTAGAATGTAGGGAGATTCATTTTTTTTTTCAAAATTTTCATTTTCTAGAGAAATAATTTCCTAGTAAAGATTTGTCTAAAATCTTAGTCTTTTATATTAATATGTAGGCTGTGGAAGTTTGGTAAATAGATATACGAGCGGGCGAATGGTTGGAGCGCTAAAACTACTGAAATTCAAATTTTTTTAAGAAAATTTTTTAAATCACTTAATTACCCAGTTATTTATGTTAGCTTTTATTTTAATTTTCATTGTTTCTCCGTAAAGTATGCAATAATTATTTTTTAAATATTCATCTGTAATATTATTTTCGTATGGCTATTAATTTAAAGAATAATTAATTTTAGTTGAAAACTGATTTTAACATTAACACATTGAAACAGTTTCAAAAATTTGAATTCTCTTACGACTTTCTTCTCGTAAACAAAATTAATATTACAAATTTTAGAATTTTACTTTATTTTACTACGATTTATGTTACGAACATTTTATAATAATAAAATTTGATTTTAAATTTTTAAAAAATATTCAATTATTTAAATTCAACTTTTAAAAAAAAGGTTAACAAGTTTTAAATTAATTCATTATGATTTTATAAGAGTAAAACTTAGTAGACATAAGTAAATAACGCAATGCAGAAAAATATTTTTCTTAATTTTTTCTTCTCATAAAATATGCAAGCAATTATCCTTTTTATTTTATATGATTTAATGTATAGATACTAATGATGGCAACTAATTTATGAAATGATACTTAATTATAATTGATTGAAATTTTCTATTAAGTTGAATAACATACTTGAAGCTGATAGCAAATTCAAATATATTATAAAAGCGTAGACAGATATTTACGCACTATACTATATTATATTGGTGCATAATATGTAATACATAATAATATGCTTTTATTCCAAAGGATGGGTCATTTTGAATGATTTCTGAATGAAAAATAGTTACAAGTTACATATACGTAGATTACATATAGTAGCTCATCTATAAGCATAATTTTATATAAGTATAACTTTAATTAAATTGATAAATTACTGTTTGAGAGTAAGATTAAAGCTTAAATAAGATAAGATTGACGGTCTTGGCCTATATGAATTAACTCTCTCTTCTCAGTAGCATTCTATTATCTAATTCCATTCCATGTCCACATATCTTGGAATTCAATTCAATAATTTCCCACAGTTGTTAACTATATATTGCTGATTCAAAAGTAGAAATAAAATATTGATGAATGACCCATTCTCAGTCGTTTTCTTTTTGTATAATACATTTTTAATATTTTCGTATAAAATATGTATGGAAATATGCTTTCCCTTAATTGATATTATAAAAAAAAAATATAATTTTGTATGAAATTAAATATTTGTTTTCTCTCACTATCATATATATTTCATATGAGAGAGTGTCTGTTTGTGGAAAATTTTTAAATGGAATG